TCCTGAATGCGACTTACTACAATCGGCTGGCACACAAATACCTTTTGTTTTTGTTTACTGCTAGGTGGGGGGGACAGCATGGGTGTAAGGGCTGATCCCAATGTTTCTATGTTTCCATTCTATAGCCCTTGCAATAGAATGAAATGTTTTCACCAGTGAGCTATGCGGTACACAGTTGAGTATGTATAGAGGGGAGGGTGAAGGAAGCCTGATATGGCGTGGGATTGAGTGATGACGTGGAAAAAAGCTGGACGACATGGAGGAATGAAGCTGGGTTGAATGTCTTGTGACGTGGCCAAGTGTAGGAACAGGTACCAGCTAATCCTCACCACAGATTCAAGGTCGACTGCACAGGAAGGCAGGCGGGCATTTCGTCCGGGATTTGGGCGGTCGGGCTGATGTTTGGGCTGTTCGGCCATAGGTTGGGCCGCCAGGCCGGCGTTTGGGTGAGTTGTCTGTGGCGTTCCACTGAACGTGGAGGTAATAAGAATGTGGTCGGAAATAACAACGAACTGATATGAACATGATAAAAGCAACAAGATAAGCAGCAATGACTGCATGGCAGTTTCCCCAGGACCCCAATGGAAATAAGTCACTGACTTTTTTGGGTTATCCTAGGTTCTCTACACATGCTATGTATGATAATCTATGACTATTTGTGTATACCTGAATAAACATGCTTGCCACATGCAGCTTAAAATCACTAATCATTATTATAATTTTCATAGGGTAGCGCTAAATCTGTAAGGGTTACTCAGCTGTGAATGGGAAGTAATCAATTATGATCCAAGAAAGGGGATGGTGACTCTAATCTCATTAATCAAGAGCCCTTCACCAAATCAAGACCCCCTTAAAGGGGGGCGGCAAACTAAATAATGGATCAACAGAAGTATATATGTAATGACTAATGAGCCAAGTCGGTTATTATACCAACATCATTAAAATAAAAATAAAATTATCTGCACTGAAAGCCTATATGTATATTCACATGAATTAATATGGTTTGATTCTTTTATTTTTACTCCAAATTATTTAACACACCTAATCTAGTTTTGCTCATTTTAGTACAATATAGCTATTCAATCTAATGTCTGCCTAAATTTAGCTAATACTGACACGAATGAAATACAATAAATTAGTTTCGTGACGCTCAGACTAGATGAATAAGCCAAGTTGGTAACATCCAGTTGCAAAAGACGACACATACAGTAAATAAAACCACACATCTGATGAATGTAAATATTGTGTCAGGTGACTCTCCTTGCTAACGAGTTTCTGAATTTCACCTGCCCGAGTAGCCACGTCACCAATCGTCCCATTACCCCACCCCCTCATAATTCCCCACCACTCCATTACCCCTTCCCCTCTAACACCAACCCAAACCCCGTCACATTACCTCAGAGTGTCTTTCAAACTATACCTCTCTCTCGTACATCTTCACTCCCTCCCACCTCGCAGGCACCTCACCCACTCGCTCCCATCTGTACCTGTGACCAGTTTAAGGATTCTACCCTTGCAGTTCTGTCTGAGGTCCGAATTCATTGCTGACTGCTTTATCAACCAAGCTGTTGGTGTTAGCTGCTTGCAGGCCCACACAGCACTTACTGGAGCCAGTGGTCAAGTTTCCTTTTGAAATTTTCTACTTTTGTTCTGTCCACTGACTCCTGCCCACCCAATCACACCCTCCCACTCATGCCCACCAATCATTTCCACACCCTCATTCTCACCCACCCATCATTCCCATACCCTCAACCTCCATCCACCCACCATTCCTGCGCACGCACGCACACACACACACACACACACACACACACACACACACACAAACTCCCACCCACCCATTCTCACCAATCTATTCTCACCCCCGCTCTCACGAATCCATTCTCATCCTCGCTCTCACCAATCCATTCTCACCCCAATGTGACCTGACCTGACTAGGTTGGGTGCATTGGCTTAAGCCGGTAGGAGACTTGGACCTGCCTCGCATGGGCCAGTAGGCCTGCTGCAGTGTTCCTTCGTTCTTATGTTCTTATGAATCCATTCTCACCCCCACTCCCATTATTCCTACACCCTCAACTCCCACCCATTATCATTCCTGCGCACACACACACTGCCACCCACCCATTCTCACTCCCCCACTGCCACCAACTCATTCTCACTCCCCCACTGCCACCAACTCATTCTCACTCCCCCATTGCCACCCATCCATTCTCACCCCCACCCATTATTCCCACATCCTCACTTCTACCCACCAATCATTCAAACATCCTCACTCACACCTGCTCATCTTACCCATACTTTCCTACTCACATCTACTCCTCCCACCTACTCACAAATTATCACTCAATCCCTCTCCCAGCCACCTTAATATCTCCCATCCCTCTTTCCCAGTGGTGCAGTGATACTGTAGCGCACTTGGCTCACAACTGAAAGCATCTGGAGTCGAACCCTGAGTCATACAGGACATATGGGCAAATCTCCTAAAAACTACCGTTTCTGTTACCTAACAGTAGATACACACCTTGACTGTTGTGGGTCGCATTTTGGAGGAAAAGAACCTAAAATGATCCCAGTGAAAATAAGCCACACTGACTTTCATAGGTTAACCTCAAGGGCAGCTCCAAACTATCCACATAGGAGGGACTTAGGGGTGGTAAATTTGGTTGGAAAAGGGGGCTAGGGAACTTATCTTGAAGCTGAGACTTTCCAAATTAAAAGTCCTGACTATCACAATTTAAAAAAAAAAAAAAATGGTAGAAAATCTTTTTCTAAAGACATAATAAATGTAAAATTTGATTGAAAACTCATGGAATTACACAGGCACCAAGTTGGTGGTATGTGCACAATTAACACATCAGCAATTTTGCCAGATTTGACTCCTTCCCATTGTTCAATTTGACCCAGTTCCTAGATATTTCCATAATATGCCTTCGTTTCTATCAAATGAATGCAAGAAATTTCCCATTCAATTATCAGACCTACCACAAAAAGTGCACAGAATTCAGTAACTTGGCAAATTTTACACAAAATTCAACAAATTTAATTTTAAAAACAGTAAAAAAAATAAACACTAGGCATTCCAGCCAATTAACAACCTTTCCTCCGTTAATCACATCCCTAGGCCTCTCCTATATAATACATACCCTCTATTTAGAATATATTATTACATAAAAAAAAAACAGAAGTATAGGAGGGTCCTGCTTATACAGCAGGTTAGATTCCACTCTACTGCTGTGAAACAAAAATTGTTGTAAAGCGAAACATGGCCTTTTTTGCACTTTCAAATGCATATAAAAGCCTAAGATGATGTTTACACTATCATATGTTAAGTGAACAAGGCACAAAAAATGTATATACAGTACACATTACTTTGAAATATTTTTGTCCTTAGCTTATAGCGAGTGGTGAATATATTTATTGTAGGAAGCCTGAATAAATGAAGAATGGGTATAACTGAAAACTGCTGCACTAGTGAAGCACTGCAAAGTGAAGTGCTGTAAAGCGGAGTCCACCTGTATAATCCTATTTTCTGGATAATAAAATATATCAGAGTGAATGGTCACAGTTTAGGCCAATCCCAATAATTGAAGCAGACCAAGTAAAAACCCATAAAACATATCTGGGGGCATGGGGGGCCCTACCCATCCTCAGGAAAATTGCCAAAAATGGAACATCTCTGCCACTCTGAGGCCTATTTCAAGCTATTTCCTGTCTGCAGCCAAAAAATTAGTACAGTAGGACTGCCATATCCGTAGATCCGGTTTCCGTGGTTTCAGTTATCTGCTGTTTACCCTAGCCCGAAAATAACCCTTAATTTTGCTTAACAGTGACACCAAAGTGCAAAAGTAGTGATGGTGACAGTTCTTCAAAGCCTAAGAGAAGTCGTGAAGTGCTTTCCATCAGTGAAAAAATGCTAATTCTCGACTGATTATGCATAATTTATCAATTAAACTTCATCATAGGTATGTATATAAACAAAAAATTACTTAAACATAGGGTTCGCTACTATCTGCAGCAGGTCTTGAAATGTATTCCCTCGGATATGGAGGTCCTACCGTATATCTATTTCACTAGTATGTCTTGCATTCTGTCAACTGAAACAGCCAACTATAAAATCACACTAGAAAACATTTCAAATTCTCCACTTTAAACCAAATACAAGGTCAGCAGCTTGTTTTTCCCATCATGCACTGCATGAAGAAGGATTTTTATACTATGCACACCTACTGCACAGACCCGTTCTCTAAAGTCTAGGCCAAAATTTACCCCTCGCAGCACATTTGAGGGAGTTGTGCTAAAGATGTAGATCTGTGCAAGTGACAGTAGCATCAGTATTGGAAATCTACATTAGAAATGGTGAATGGGTTGAAGATGTGACTGTTAGAGAAGACAGCAGACAAAGTATGTCAAAGGTCTGATGCCTGTTAAAATGAGGTTGACATGCTCTTTAATGACTGGAGAAACTGATCATGAAATGTTGGACTGTCAGGATGATCTGACAATCACTGCTAGGTAGCACCAAAAATTTGTTTGAATAGATATTCCATACAGTAACAAAACTTCAAGCTTCCTCTTTAATTCATAGGGTACCCATAATTAGCAATAGTGTGTTGATTTCAAGATTTTTTTAATAAAAATGTTTTGCAATATATAACTCAGTTTCAACATTTTTTTTATAAAGAGCAACTACTGAGAGTGTAGCCAAACACAGAATGAAAATAGCTGTCAATATTGTTAAAACTGGTTTGTGATGTTAATTACATATGTATTTAAACCTCACACACAAGCTGCTCTAATCACTAACTCTTAAGCCATGTGTAAAACAATCAGATTTGTATTACCACAGTTTAAAAGACAAACTTTTCATGCAGGGTACTACTAAAGCACCCATAACGTAAATGTCTCGGTAATGAAAAAGTAAATACAGTCTACAGGTTAACATGCAATTAAATTTATAGAACAAGATAGTCTATTAGCAATATCAAGAAAAGGAGACGTACCTTGCCAATTCCATATGTTTTTGTAGGGGTGTTAACAGAAATAAAAATCAAATCAGCCTCCTTGATAGCCATCTCAATGTCATTGGAGAAAAATAAATTTCTTCCTCGGCATTCCTTGACAACATCTTCTAAGCCAGGCTAAGTAAAATAAATGATAATGAACAGTTATCTAAAATACAGATGTTTTTCAGCGCATAATAAAATATATAACAACAGTTTTGTTACGAAAGATTAAACAGCTGATATTTATACACACGAAAATAAAAAAAATTACATATATTTAAAAGAACTGTACTGTACCTCATAAATGGGTAGCTTTTCAGAATTCCACTGCTTTATTCTCAGCTCAGATTTGTCGACGACATGAACACGAATATCTGGACACTTCCATGCTATAACACTACAAGTTGGACCACCAACATATCCAGCACCAATGCAACATATATTTTTTACAACCATTGTTTATTCTGAAAAAAATCAGTTTAAAAAAATAGTCATGTATGAAGCAGAAGACATTAAGACAAAATTTCATGTTTCTATTTAATACTAATCAAACAAGTAAATTAGTCATAATACAGTGGACCCCCGGTTAACGATATTTTTTCATTCCAGAAGTATGTTCAGGTGCCAGTACTGACCGAATTTGTTCCCATAAGGAATATTGTGAAGTAGATTAGTCCATTTCAGACCCCCAAACATACACGTACAAACGCACTTACATAAATACACTTACATAATTGGTCGCATTGGGAGGTGATCGTTAAGCGGGGGGCCACTGTACTTGCAGAATGAAACTGGAAGATTTAAGATGTATTCATAATCCTTAATTTCTGAGAAGTGTATAGTAGTTACAAAATGTAATAGGCATACCCAGTTAAAAAGGCAGAATCTGTAATAACTTTTTATCTTGGGAACTTTTTGGGATAATTATACATAAAAGAACATACAGTACAAAACATGTTTACACTAAAGCCATTCTTATTACCACCATTATACAGCAAAACTACACTGTACTAGAACCTAAATGCTGCAATAAAAATACGTATATGGTGCACAATTATTGGTTTATTCTACATATAGGAAATAAAATACTAACCCATCTTTTTCAACACTACCAATGCAGGCCATACCTTTTTGAAAAATAAGTATTTTATTTTTTATTTATTGTAAAACATTCAATATTCAGCTAATCTTTCCTTGTAGCACTAACCTGCCTTCTTGTAATTTTTGTACATATTTCATAAACTGAATGCAACTAGAACAAATAACAATTTGGGTTGATTCATTAGTAAAGTGCCAATGATCAAAAAATACATTGCATTGTAAAATGAGATTTCTTTAGTTACCTAGTCATAATGCCATGGCACTGGTAGCCTTTTGAACTGATGGTGCCCAAGACTGCACTATTGATGGCCTTAAATATAAATGGAGGATATTTTGCTATAAAGAGTAATATACAGTAAACATCTAGTCTATTAGCAGACCTTTACTTTGGTCAAAACATAATTTGTTATGTTACAGCACATTATTTAGCAAAAAATCCAATGTCTAAATTTAAGGCTATTAACAAGGTAAATTTGGTTACTATCAGATAAAAACTATCACTGCAATATACTGCGACTAGGTAATTCAAATGGGTGTTAACACTTTTGTTATTAAAACTTCATAAACAATAAGTTAAAATTCAGCTCAGCTGAATATCCTATTATTATCTGGGTCACTGAACCTTATCCTACAAAGGTTTACTGCTGATGAACTGCCAGTCACCACCTACCAATAATACAAATAATAATGATACAAATTTTATAAAAAAAAAATAAAATAATTGTTGAGGTGGTTTAGACATTTTGAGAGGATGGAACAAAACAGAATGACTTGGAGGGAAAATAAATCTGTAGTGGAAGGAAGGCGGGGTTGGAGGGAGGGGATAAAGGAGGTTTTGTGCACGAGGGGCTTGGACTTCCAGCAAGCGTGTGTGAGCATGTCAGATAGGAGCAAGTGGAGATGAACAGTTTTTATGACGATGTGCTGTTGGAGTGTGAGCAAGGTATGAAGGGATTCAGGGAAATTGGTTAGCCAGACTTGAGTCCTGAAGGTGGGTAGTACTCTGCCTGCACTCTGAAGGTGGGGTGTTGATATGTTGCAGTTTTTTTTAAATGTAGTGTAGACATGCCTTTGGCAAGACAATGATGGAGTGAATCATGATAAAAGTGTTTCTCCTGTTTTGGGTCACCCTGCCTTGGTGGGAATAGGCCAATATGTTAATAAATAATAATAATCATTATCATAATAATAATCTCTAAATCTGCAAACTAGGTTAGCACATGTATCATTGTTCTTCAAAGGTTTTTATTTTGACTTTGAATATGCAAACTACAAATTTTTTTACAATAGTCTTGAGAGCACATAGTTGCTATATGCACACAAAAAGTACATTAGATAGACAACCTAGGATAATGCAATATTCAAACAATACAACTTATTTCTATTGCAACCAAGTTAAGCTAATACACGACTGTCAAATTAGCTGTCACTTTCTAGCCTAACTTAACTGTTAATGCTAATCTTTCATGCTGCTACTGTTCAAACTGCACAACTAAGCTAACCAGGATAGTTAATAGCATCATGTTAACCACTGCCTTTTTAATCTAATCAAGCTAATGCACATATACCATGATAACTACCACTTCCTAAGCTTAATTTGATTAGGTAAAATTCATCCGCACTTCCACTCCCATATTTTCATCAACAAAATGTCTAAAATTAACCTACAGCCTCTGCTGGTTGCCCAATACTTCAATATTAGACATTGCACATTATGTTCTTGTTCCTCTTCATAATATTACACAGTATTATAGACTTCGCTAGCACATCTAATGCTGTGTATTATACAATATTATATAGTAAGCTTATTCAGGTATATACAAATACACTTGCATAGATTATCATACATAGCAGCATATGTGTAGAGAACCCAGGATAACCCAAAAAAGTCAGATAGTGACTTATTTCTATTGGGGTCCTTCACTAGCACATCTAATGTTGTGTAATATACAGTATTATAGACTTCATTTGCACATCTAATGCTGTGTATAATACTGTATTATAGACTTCATTAACACATCTACTGCTGTATCACGTACACAAAATCCTGAGTTAACAATTCAACTGTTACTGTACAAACTCCTAGCTGCCTATACACACAACACTATTTGCCTCACCGCTCTATGTTTATCATACATGAGATACATATTTTTCCTCGGATATTAGCAGATAATGAACGTGGAGAATTTCCACAAAATGCCATAAAAAAGTTAACTACACGTGTAAGTGTAAGAAAAGCAATATTCTTACATCCAGCACAAGAAGGAAGACTACACTCCACCCTCTACAACGTCTGACAGCTGACTGAGACTGTAAGTAAACAAGCTGGCTGAGGGACCCTAAATGTTGTTCAATTCAATTTCAATTCAAGTTTATTCTCTATAATGGTTACAATGTGGGGTTTACCGGTTTTGGGTATTTTGTGGTTTACATGTTATAAAATACTAATTACAGAGGGGGCCACTAGGACACCTAGCATGGCTAGGCATTTCGAGCAGACTTAGATTAATTCTTAACATTAAGTCCTTACAGAATCTAGTGTCAAGGCTAAGTGACATCATAATTTTGAGTTTAGCAATGTGAATGCTTTTGTTTTGGCACAATACAAGGTGTCTATATTTGAGTAACATTGGCAAACTTATGACTAGTTAGGATTTATTATTTTAAGATTAAGATTAGTATTTCTGGGTTTATAGTCAGTGGGTGAGTGAGTGGAATTGTGAACCACCAGGTGGTTCTCATGTAGTTAGTTGTCGGGGTGGATCAGGGAGATAAGATGTTTTCTAACTGTATTTTTTAAAAATGTTTAAATGTGTCTGCATTCTAGAGTTTTCGGTGGGTGTTCCCAATTTTTTGGGTCCTTAAATACTTAAAATTTTTTGTAAAGGTTTATCGAACCCGGGAATGTCATAGAGATTTTTGTGTTGGTGTTATCCCTTGGGTTCTGTCAACTATCAAAAAAATTTTTGGGTAAAGTTTAAATAGGAATTTAAGGTCCTGTAAAAATTTAGATTGCCAGTGAAAAATGTGGATGTTCTAAACAGGGAGAAGTTTGATTATGAAGATGGGGGGGGGGGGGGCCGGGAGGGGATTTGTGTTGGGCGGGGGTTAAAACTGCCAACAAACCTAAAGCCAATAATCCAACAAAAAGTGCATTTAAAAAAATCCTCCCTGACTTAAGAAATGAAATGCACGTTGCAAAAAAACCACCCCCCGGCGGGATTGACCGCGGTATAGAGTCTCAAACTCCAGCCGTCGCGTTAGCCACTAGACAGCTAGCCACAATAGATTCATCCAACTAGGTAATTTTACATCCCTTAGAAAGGGTTTTAAAAGGGCCCCTAAGTGACTACATCATATTTTTATTTAGCGAATGTGAATGCTTTTGTTTTGCGGCACAATACAAGGTAGTCTATATTTGAGTAACATTGGCAGAACTATGACTAGTTTAGATTTATTATTTAACGATTAAGGATTAGTAATTTCTGGGTTTATAGTCAGTCGCGTGAGTAGCATGGAATTGTGAACCACAGGTGTTCTCATGTAGTATAGTTGTCGCGTGGATCAGGAAGATTAAGATGTTTTCCTAAATGCTAAGTTTGAAAGTGATGAATGATGTTGCAGTTCTAGATCGTTTTCAGGGTAGGGTGTTCAGATTTTAGGTCCTTTGAAATACATTGAATTTTTGTAAGGTTTGTCGAACACGGGGAATGTCATAGAGATTTTTGTGTCTGGTGTTATGCCTGTGGGTTCTGTCAACTATCAAGAAAGCATTTTAGGTCAGATTAATATTGGAATTTAGGCCTGTAGATAGGATTGACAGTAGTAAATGTGATGTTCTGAACAGGGAGTAAGTTTAGATCTATAAGAGTGGGGGGGTGGGTATCCAGGGATGGGATTTGTGGTTGGGCTTGGGGTTCAACTGCACGCGAATAAACCTAACGCAGTTAATCCACCAAAAAGCTGCAGTAAGAATAATCACTACCTGGAGTTTACCCTCCAAGTAAACTCCAGGTAGTGATTATTCTTACTGCGGCTTTTTGTTGGGTTATTATTGGTTTTAGGTGTGTTGCTGCAGTTGAACCCCAAGCACAGATAGCATAGGTGAGGTATGGATATATAAATGAATGGTGTAGTGTGAGAAGGGCAGTTTGCGACACGTAGTATCGTATCTTGGACACTATTAAGACTATCTACTACACGAGTGTCATTAAGACTATCTACAATACGAGGGTCATTGCTAGGAATAAGGTAAAAATGCACGTGTGTTAGCTAAAAAAAAAATAAAAAAAATCATTCCCCTTTTGGCTCTTTTCTAGAACTGGTTCATGCTATGACTGGCTTTGACATAGGTGGGCAGTCTGTTCTATTCCTTTATAGCTGTACAATAAAAGGCGTTTGAAGCCTGGCCACTCACTGTGGGTACTACAAAGTTGTGCTCTCTCCCCCTAGTACTATGATTGCCTTGGTTCCCAACCTTGACAAAATTGGCAGCAAGATATTCTGGACACTGTTTGTAAGCAATTTTATAAACATGATTTAGCTTCAGTTGTTTTACGCTGTCTTCAACATACCCAACCGCTGTAATTCATCCTGGCCTACATGCTCTCTTGGACCCAGGTCCAGGATGAATCTTACCATTTTGTTCTGGGTGATTTGCAGTCTATCAGTTTTTTCTTTTGCCAAGGCAGAGTACCATGAAGAGCAAGTGTGATCCATATGCCACTGTATAAGGGCAAGACATAGGGTCCTGCGAGCCTCAGTAGGTAGACACTGTGCTTGTCTATACAGGAATTTCAGTCTGGCATTCGCTTTATTTACTACACTGTTCCCTATCAGTTCTCCTGACATGCATGGGTCAAAGGGGAATTCCCAGATGTTTTACTGAGGAAACTGAAGTGATGGGCTCCCCATTACACCGGATATTAAAATTATTTACCTTTCTCAGTTTATGTTTCGTGCCAAAGAGAATGGCTTCCGCTTTTCCGAGGTGTGATGACAGTTTGTTGTCTACTAACCATTTGTTGCAGGACTCCAGTTCCAGTGTTAATACATCAGCTATATCTGGTGGGTCTTGACCTGACACTAACAGAGCACTGTCATCTTCATACAATAGGAGTTTGCACTTGACACTGATACAGGTACAGGTACGCATAAATACAGTTACACAAATTATCATACATAACAGCATATGTGTAGATAACATTTACCTGGAGAGAGTTCCGGGGGTCAACGCCCCCGCGGCCCAGTCTGTGACCAGGCCTCCTGGTGGATCAGAGCTTGATCAACCAGGCTGTTACTGCTGGCTGCACGCAAACCAACGTACGAGCCACAGCCCGGCTGGTCAGGAACCGACTTTAGGTGCTTGTCCAGTGCCTGCTTGAAGACTGCCAGGGGGTCTGTTGGTAATCCCCCTTATGTATGCTGGGAGGCAGTTGAACAGTCTCGGGCCCCTGACACTTATTGTATGGTCTCTTAACGTGCTAGTGACACCCCTGCTTTTCATTGGGGGGATGTTGCATCGTCTGTCAAGTCTTTTGCTTTCGTAGTGAGTGATTTTCGTGTGCAAGTTCGGTACTAGTCTCTCTAGGATTTTCCAGGTGTATATAATCATGTATCTCTCCCGCCTGCGTTCCAGGGAATACAGGTTCAGGAACCTCAAGCGCTCCCAGTAATTGAGGTGTTTTATCTCCGTTATGCGCGCCGTGAAGGTTCTCTGTACATTCTCTAGGTCAGCAATTTCACCTGCCTTGAAAGGTGCTGTTAGTGTGCAGCAATATTCCAGCCTAGATAGAACAAGTGACCTGAAGAGTGTTTGGGCTTGGCATCCCTAGTTTCGAAGGTTCTCATTATCCATCCTGTCATTTTTCTAGCAAATGCGATTGATACAGTGTTATGGTCCTTGAAGGTGAGATCCTCCGACATGATCACTCCCAGGTCTTTGACGTTGGTGTTTCGCTCTATTTTGTGGCCAGAATTTGTTTTGTACACTGATGAAGATTTAATTTCCTCGTATTTGCCATATCTGAGTAATTGAAATTTCTCATCGTTGAACTTCATATTGTTTTCTGCAGCCCACTGAAAGATTTGGTTGATGTCCGCCTGGAGCCTTGCAGTGTCTGCAATGGAAGACACTGTCATGCAGATTCGGGTGTCATCTGCAAAGGAAGACACGGTGCTGTGGCTGACATCCTTGTCTATGTCAGATGTGAGGATGAGGAACAAGATGGGAGCGAGTACTGTGCGTTGTGGAACAGAGCTTTTCACCGCAGCTGCCTTGGACTTTACTCTGTTGACTACTGCTCTCTGTGTTCTGTTAGTGAGGAAATTATTTAACTACACTGTAGTATTATCTGTCGTATAAGTAAAAAAAAAGTATGATTATACGAAATTCTGAGTTTTTAAGTCTTAGAAAATCGATACCGATATACGGCAGGCGCAGGGTCTTTTCGCTGGCCCATACAAGGCAGGTCTTATTTAAACTTACCTATTTTCACCAAGGCATTTGTGCAACCTATTTTAAAAGCTAGCTAGAGTGCTCGCTTCAGTAACACTATACCTGGCAGTTTCTTGCACTCATCTACAACTCAACTGCCAAGCCACTGCTATCACATTCCTTCTAAATCTGAGTGTAACCATCTTGAATCTATTGCCGAGAGTTGTTTCTCCAGGTAAGTACTATATTATTTAGTTTATAAATGCCCCGTCACAGCTGTGTATAATAGGTAATCACATACAAGACCAAAATAACGAATCTACAAGCAGCACCTTATCACGAAGACCCATGAATCTCGACTGGGTGATTTTCGACTTTTCCGTGAACTGCTCAGGAGCCTTCAAATACCGACGGTAGGGGCTGGTTGGAGGACGTTCAGTCAAGGCCATTACCACACCTGCTTCTCCGGAAATTCCTAGCAAAAAAAGGCAACTTACCTGAGGTTTGCACTCTTCCAAAGACCATAAAATAGAAGTTTAAACTTGTGCATTTCTCTCTCACCAAAGAAAACAGGCCACAAGTTCAAAACCTTGTCTCTTACCAAAGTTAACCTTAACCTCCCGGAGAATTATTATTATATTAAATTAAAGCGCTAAACCATTAAGGGTCATACAGCGCTGGAGGCAGGGATGTGCCAAAGTAGGTTGTGGGAAGTTAGAGGTTAGGACAAGGGCAAAATTGAAATCAAAGTTGGTGCAATAAGTTAGTTTCCGTTAGAAAGTCGAAGACACTTTCAATGAGGTCAGTGAAGCTAGTATGTTGGGGTAGTTCAGACGTAGGAAGTGGATCCTGTACGCACTTTGACAGAGTAAGTAATGAAAAAAGAGCAAGATCCAGTTAAACTGTCTGTAATTGTAGTTTCCACAAATCATTGACAATACAA